TAGTATACCTTAATTGTCTATGGTGGCAACATCTTTCTGTTTTGAGCTTATCGTCCTGGCCGATATGTTAATGACGGCTGCCTTAATTAAGAATCCTTATTTAGACTTTCTGTTTTAAGCCTGATCATCTAGGACAATGTAAAAATCATCCTGGCCGATATGAGTAAAAACAGAAATTCTAAGTCTCTCAAGTGTGTGTGTGTAGGGTTACTTAGCATCAGTCTCTTTGAACATTACAAGTAAACTCAAGAAGTGAAAAATAAAAGTACAGACTGACTCAACCCTAAACCTACGCAATCCTGAACTGGCTTCATCTGTTCGTCCTATCTCTTCGATTCCCGAAAAGTTAGAAGAATCAAGTAGTCCAAGAAAATCAATAGTGTTTGTCAATCATCAAAATATAAGTCATGAAAATAGATTTGCAATAGAATGTATCAAGGTAATGATGTAAATATAAAGATAATGATATAAATTTAAATATTTTAGATACTTGTATAGCTATATTATATTGTATAGCTATGCTATATTGTACAATATCAAGAGTTATAAAAGATTTGAAAATGATTGTTTATATACACTTGTAGATTCCAAGAGGAAATGATTCATCTTCCTTTGAAGATATTATCTTTTAAAATTTTATAGAAGACCGAGAAGCCTAAAAGTTCCAAGGCTAAAATAAATAATCATATTTAAATATATAGTTTTATATGAATCAAAATCCATACTTATTATTAATGGGGTATGACCTCCTTTACTTTATAGCATACCCTATGTTATACTCTAATAATTTATCATTGAAAAAAAGCTTTTTATTTATATATTATTGTTCACGCATCATTACATTGTGTGATCTTTTACATATTGTAAAGCCTTCAATAAAGTTTTATGAATTATAATTCCTTAATTCCTAGGATAGAGCCAACTAATCCTGCATTCATATGGTTATTTCTTATGCTTAGGATTGTTAGCTAGTTGCTCTCTTTAGGTAAGTGTAAATCAAAATTGTATATACCCCTCAATCTCTACATATTCTTTTTGTTTTGTCATTTAAAAATCCAAAATTTCTAATGCAAACTCCAAATCCAAGTTAAAGATTTGCAATGTAAGCCTATATACAAAAATCATAATACCCCAAGCCTTTCTTTAAATCCATATGAATTTTAAGATTTTTTAATCAAGAGTACTCTCTTCAGAGATATAATTAACTATAGGGGATTTCCCCTATAGGAAGTCTAGGACCTATAATTTTAAAAAAACTACCTTAGTTCCTTTCTAGGGTTTAAATATTGGGTTACTTTTATGATCAAAATAATAAGTGAATATTTTTTTATCCTTTGGAATGAATTGAATATTCCTTATTCTATTTAATTATAAAAATAAATATATTAATTTTATTTCATAATTAAAATGAAAAGTGAATATTCCTTTTATCTTTCGAGAGGAATAAAAAATTTCTTATGCTGTGTTTGATTATGAAAATAAATTAAGTTTCTCTTTTAAAATTGATAGTAAAATATTAGTCTATCTCTTAGGATAGTATAATGTTAATTTATGAAGATTTTACAAAACAAATATTTAAAGAAAATTATGTGGCAATGAAAGTAAAATTTTTCCATTGAGGATAGACTTCTTTCCATCTTTAGTGAGAAACAAACTTTTTAAGTATATATAGATTTAATTAAATGCTTGGGTTATCAAAATTCTTGCATATTCATATTTATTTAAATTTCAATCTTGTATATGCATATTTAGTATAGTCTTATATATTCATGTTTACTATAGTCTTGTATATGTATGTTTAGTTTAGTCTTATATATTCATGTTTAATCCAATCTTGTATAAACATGTTTATGATAATCTTGCATTTGCATGTTTAAATTTGCTTGTTTATTTAAATTTTAGTTTTGTATTTCCATGTTTACTCACGTAATATGTCCCATGGTTACTTGATTTCATCCTAAAAACTAAGCAAACTAGGCCAACCAAAATGATGAATCGGTCTTAAATCAAGTAGGGGTTTTGCCCGTGTATAGTCTTGTATTTTTGCATGTTTATTTGAATTTTTATTTTGTATGTCCATGTTTACTTACATAAGCATGTTCCATGGATACTTGGTTTCATCATAAAAGCCAAGCAGACTAGGTCAATCAGAATATTGAATCAATCATAGGTCAAGTAGGGGTTCTACCCACTTATAGTCTTATATATTTATGTAAAATGTAGTCTTTAGATTATAAATCCCAAAGTTGTATTCCCTTATGTATAAAATCTATTCACTGAATTCATGGTCTAAATCAAAATCTAAATCTTATTAAACTATATCTTTTTATCAAACTCTCTGAATTAATTCATAAGTCTGTTCCTCGCAATGATCGAAGGTATAGAGTTACAAACTCTCAAAGTTATAATCCAATCCCACATCCAAAATTTATACTAGTTAAAATTAGTGTGATTAAAGTCTCCCATCAATCCTTGGATCATCAATCACCATGAGCTGATCAACATCATTTCAAAGGACATAAATCATATTCTTATCCCAATATGACAAGATTAAAACAAAAAAATTAGTCAAACTCACTATCTAATAAGAATATCAATTGACATTCTAAAATAGTTGCCACTTCTACTATGCCTATCTTCAATAAACGTGTAGTAGAAGAAATAAGAGTAAAGGTTCCTCACTATAAGAACAATAAGATTTTCTTTGGCTGGAGCAACCGTGTGAAAACTCAATCTCATAATATTATGAAACCAAAGTAGCCCAATCACTTTCACCATCCCTGGTGCGAGGGAGTAACCGATGATCCTTTAACATTAATATCTTCTTCACAGAGTTTTCCTCGAGATAACCCTTAACTTATGGAGGAACAAAGATTAACTTTGGCTGGAGCAACCGTGTGAAAACTCTATCTCACAATATTATGAACCCATAGGGATCTTATCTCTCTCTCTCTCTCTCTCTCTCTCTCTCTCTCTCTCTCTCTCTCTCTTGCATAAAGATCTATTTTTGAACCCTTACTTATAGAACACTCTTACTCTTTGACTGCCAAAGTCTCTTGCAATTGTTAATAAGAAAGTGTAAAACGCAGGCATCCAAAAAAATCCTAATTTTTTATTTTTGTTGACTTTGTTCGTATAGAAGTCTCTCTGCTCATATACTACGATTTGTTTAACTGACCCATTATAGTACTGTACGATGAATAGTACTACATTTTGACCAGTTCAATTTCTTAACTAATCATGATGTTTGAATGAACAGTAGTACAATACGATTAGTTTAAATAAAGCACCAGATCGTACAGGATGACCCAAACTTTATCAAGAGAGCCCTCAGTTTTTTCATACAATTTGATATTGTGATCATACTGAACTAATTAAACTTCGTCCAGAGACTCCTATAGTGATTCATATAGTATGATCTATAATCAATTTAAATCTGATTTGATTCCTTAATTTACTGATCTAATTAGTCAATAATTCAAACTATCTTATAATATAAAGGCTTCGTATAGTACGAACATTACATATTTCAAAAGTCAAATTTGCCTATTTTAGGTAAGTTAAATTTGATAACTGGGTTTCTAATTACAACTAATCTTTCAATATGATGTGATACAGTGTTCGTGCTGTACGATTAGCTATAATTCAAATTTATTTTTATTTAAATTAAACATTTTATATAATTTATATTGCAACTGATCGTACAATACGATCTAGATCTTATAGTACAATTTACAGAAAAAATAAAAAATATTTATTTTTCACCCCCTTGTGTGTGCACGGTTGCTAAGCTGACATAAACCTTTTTATATATATTGACTTAACGAAAATAAAATTATCGACTCTTTCAAACAAATGTAACCTATGCAACCTGTTCATAAGCTCTAATTCTCTTTTGATCCTTATTGTACGTTGCTACCTGAAAGATTAGTATTGTACAAAATAAATATAAAAAATAGTATGCAGGAGTAAATAAATATTCATCTAATTATGTTTGTAATCATTAAAACATAAGATTGGACTTCAGTATTGTAACAATATATATTAAAAACTACTTAAAATAGAATATATATATATATGTGTGTGTGTGTGTGTGTGTGTTGTACATAGAATGTTACTATCACACCAAAGAAAAAACAATATATATAATATAGAGAATAGTAACTAATCAAATAAATAATATTTGTAATCATCAAAACACTAGGTTGGGTACATTTATTTCAATGATAAATTGACAGAATAATTTAATTTATTTTTTGTAATATGTCTTTGATTGCATTCAACATACATTAATTATTAATACAAATTTTATTTGGAACTTTTTGGTCAATTAAGGCAAACTCTCACACACATCACATAAGTGAAAATCATAGCCAAAATCACTTAGTTGATAACAAAAACTCCCAATCAACAGATCAAGATGAGCAGCGTATTATCAGTACAATTTAATTATTAGACATATATAACTAAATTGTCTGATAGATAGAATTAAATTATTGGGCTTTCAAATATAATATAGAAAAAATATTTTGACCATCCAATAATTTAATCATATTTATATAAAAATTTAATTATTTTATTTAATAGCTTAAGTTTATTGAAGAACAATACTTATAAAATAAATGATAGTAAGTATAAAATAATAGCCATGCTAATATAAAATATATCTAACCAGATTTTTTCAGTACGCTTTGCTTTTAAAAGCTCCCTAGTTTGGCGGCGGTGGAGAAGGGGAGAGGCTATGGAGGATAAAGGGAAAAATTGGAGGGCGGAGGTGGGGGAGAATCTCAGTCGTCTCCAATCCCTTCTATTCGGAGCGGAATCCGCCGCCCAGCGCGGGGATCATGCAACAGCTCAGGTCCTTGGCCTCCGCCTCCTTGGCTTTCTCGACTCCCGCACCGTCTCGCCCTTAGACGCAGCCTATATAACTCCAATTCGCACCGAGGTGCAATCGAGAGTAGCTGCTGCCTCCCGAGCCCTTGCTCCCGATTCCGATCAGTAATCTTTCTTCACTCTCCAATACTCTATTTGACATGAATCTTTTTATATTCACACGAGCATAGCATTTTTAATAGTGCAGTATACAGCAAATGTCCCTTCACGTTTAATATTATTTTTAACAAAAAAATTTTAATCATATATTGCTTATCCAATCAAGTTTTGGCAGAACCCTAGTGCATATTGAGCAGCCCGCTCCCTTCTCGCCCTCTGCTTCGGCCTCTAAATAAACAATTCAGAGCAATGGCGGATCCAAAAAATTTATTGAATGGGGGCCTAAATTATTTTATTAAAATTTTCACTCAACTTTTTTCATTAGGGCTTGGGACCGGTATAGACATTTTAAAAACTTTTATTCAATTATTATCCAAAAATGTATAATATTAAATATAAGATAGTAAACAACTTACAATTTATAATGTATGTTTTTCATGTTTTAAAAGAGTTGAATAATTACTTCATTATCAATAAAATCTAAAATTTATTTCTCAATATAAGCAATTAATAAATCATTCATCCATTGATCTCCAATCCTATTTCGCAGTCAATTTTTTATAATATTAATGACATAAAATGACCTTTCGACGCCTGCAACAGCAACGGGTAATACCAATGACAGTTTGAGTAGTCTAAAAACAATAAGATATATAATATCTTTCCTAGTTTGAATTATTTTTTCAGCAAGACTTTCTATATCTTTTAATGAGGAGAGCTGATCATAAGATCGCATATTTCATAATATAAGTATCCAATTAATTTTCAAGAACCGTTTAATCAAGAAGAGTAAAATTAATCGAATAAAACTGTGTTATTTTAATCAACTAGTCTTTGTTGAATACATGAAATCCATTATTAGGATTCAAATATGCCATACACAAAAGAAACTCGATATTTATTTCTGTAAAATGATTATTCAACTCTTAAAGTTGCATGCCAAACAATGTGTAAAAAATTTCAACCCAAAAATAAAATAAATTTGTTATATCTTGAGCTCTACGGCGAAGTCGACCACGAGAAACCCATTATCATCAATATGTGGAACATCGATTTTCTGTTGCTCACAAAATGAAGTCAATCCACTTGTTATCTCTCATATCCTTTATATATACGTATAAAAAACATAGCATTTACAATATCTTGTTCTCCTCTTTACAAAGCTTGTGACAGTTCATTAGTGATACCAAGAACATGTTTCATCAGATATTGACAAAAAGAAAACTCAAATGTCTGTAATGATTTTAATATAGCATATGCCCCACCTTTTTGTTTTGAGCTGACACTATCTTTCAAAATTATTTCCAGAACATCATTATTATAGAGAACATTATAATTATCCTTAAAATTGATTCATAATGCGAACCTCATCTCGTATTGCCTGCACGCCTAAGTGTTATTTCTTGATTCATGCCTTGCTCAAATAAAAGTTTTTTACTTTGTAATTCATTAAATGCCTTATCTTGTTGTATTTGTTGGAATTGTTTTTGATGCTTACAAGAAACACCAATAAGATTCATTACACTCAAAATTATAATAAATAATAAAGCAATATGAATATGATTTTTCACAGCTGCCACCAATGCTAATTGAAATTGATGCGAGAAGCAATAAATGTAATGTGCTAATTGATTTTCATTCAGAAAAAGAGCCTTTAGACCATTAAACTCCCTTCACATATTGTTAGCAATTTCGTAGCCTTGACCTTGTCTTCTAGAAATGCTCAAACCATATGTTGATAGGAGTTGTTTAATTGCCATTTTAAGACTATTTGCAGTTGTATCTAACACATGAGAAATCCCCAAAAAATATTATACTATCTCATGGCTTAAAATTGCGAAATAAAAGGCGCGCCTCAGCGCAATATGATCCCTTTAAACCTCAAAGCCCACACAATAAGTTTAGGTTTTGAAACTTATGCCTCAAGTTTACTGAGGCGCGCCATAAGGCCTCGCCTCACATTTTTGAGGCGCCGCCTCTAAAAAAATTAACCTAATATATTTTTGTTCAATTCGGACCACCCAATTGTCGACGTGGATTGCCTAGTGAGATGTCGACGTGGCATCAACATTTAAACCCTGATAAAGGTAAAATGACAAAAAAATTTCAAAGTTCATGCGGCGTTTCGGTTTTCAACTTCCGGCATACATTTCAAGCATTCACTCTAGAGCAATTTCAAGCATCCCATTTTAAGACTATTGCAGTTGTATCTAACACATGAGAAATCCCCAAAAAATATTATACTATCTCATGGTTTAAAATTGCGAAATAAAAGGCGCGCCTCAGTGCAATATGATCCCTTTAAGCCTCAAAGCACACACAATAAGTTCAGGTTTTGAGGCTTACGCCTCAAGTTTACTGAGACGCGCCATAAGGCCTTGCCTCACATTTTTGAGGTGCCGCCTCTAAAAAAATTAACCTAATATATTTTTGTTCAATTCAGACCACCCAATTGTCGACGTGGATTTCCTAGTGAGATGTTGACGTGGCATCAACATTTAAACCCTGGTAAAGGTAAAATGGCAGAAAAATTTCACAGTTCACGCGGCGTTTCGGTTTTCAACATTCGGCATACGTTTCAAGCATTCACTCCGGAGCAATTTCAAGCATCCCATTTTAAGACTATTTGCAGCTGTATCTAACACATGAAAAATCCCCAAAAAATATTATATTATCTCATGGTTTAAAATTGCACAATAAAAGGCGCGCTTCAGTGCAATATGGTCCCTTTAAGCCTTAAAGCGCACGCAATAAGTTCAGGTTTTGAGGCTTACGCCTCAAGTTTATTGAGGCGCGCCATAAGGCCTCGCCTCACATTTTTGAGGCGCCGCGCCGCCTCTAAAAAAATTAACCTAATATATTTTTTTTCAATTCAGACCACCCAATTGTCGACGTAGATTGCCTAGTGAGATGTCGACATGGCATCAACATTTAAACCCTGGTAAAGGTAAAATGACATAAAAATTTCACAGTTCACGCGACGTTTCAGTTTTCAACTTCCGGCATACGTTTCAAGTATTAACTTCAGAGCAATTTCAAGCATCCACTTAGTTCTTTCCCAGATATCGTCACCCCCAAAGAGAAAGATAATTTGCTGGCATGTTTTCTGTTTAAGTTCTGTGTATTTTATGCTTATGCTACGCATAGGTGTTCAGGGCTTTGAAGTTCTTCGTATTTTATGCTTACGCTATGCGTATGCGTTCCTTCTCGAAACTTTTTAAATGTTTGATACTTTGATGCCATCGTATTTTCTCTATATTTAGGGTTTATAACTTTATATTGAAATTTGAAACCTAAACCCTAATTAAATTTTAAGTTTTTAACAATTAAACCCTAAACTTTTAAAATAGAGTAGTTTGTGCCAGTTTTGCATGTAGGATGTCATCTTATTATTGGGATAGTTTGATTTCACTTCATATCTTGTACATTTTTATGTTTTATATATTATTTACTCATTAGTATATACAAAATTTATCATTTTATGTTTAAGCAATATTTTGATTTTGAGGCTTACGCCTCAAAAAACCTTGAGGCTTACTTACGCCTCAAAAAACCTTGAGGCTTATGTCTCGCCTCACGAACGAAAAACGTCTCAATACCCAATTACGCAATTTTAAACATTGATGTGTATAAATGTTCGTGGAATCACAAATCTCCCTTGATGCAACAACCTCTCTCCCTCCAAGTAATACCTCGAATGGCTACTACTATCCTTCTTTAAATCTTCTCTGATCTTCTTCAGCTCTTTGTTTTGCATACTCTCTTCCTAGATGGCGCCCCAGTTGACCATCAGTGGTATTGAAGCTGTCAGCCCCTGAAGTTCCCCCACACATCTAGATAAAGCATCAGCCACCTTATTTTCCACCCCCGGTCGATACTGGATATCAAAATCATATTCCAAAAGCTTTGACAGCCACCTCTGATGTTCCTCGGTCACCATCCTTTGCTCGACCAGGTATTTTAAACTCCTCTGATCAATATGAACAATGAAATGCCTACCCAGTAAATAAGGACGCCATTTCTGAATGGCCAAGACTATGACCATCAACTCTCTCTCGTATACTGACTTCAATCTAGCTCTGGTCGATAGCACCTGACTGAAGTAGGCTATCGGCCTGTGATTATGCATCAACATTGCTCCCAATCCATATCCTGATGTATCGGTCTCCTCTATAAAGATCTGACTGAAATTTGGAAGAGCCAATACTGGTACTGTCATTATTGCCTTCTTCAATCTCTCAAAAGCCTGGGTTGTTGCCCACGAAAAATTATCCTTCTTCAGTTGCTCAGTCAAAGGCTAAGCGATGGTACTGTACACCTTCACGAACCTCCTGTATTAGCCAGTCAATCCTAGGAATTCTCGCAACTCCCTTATGTTCTTAGGCATTGCCCACTTTTGCATTGCCTCAATCTTTGATTGGTCGGCTGCCACTCCCTCTTGAGACATTATGTCTCAAATATTCCATCCTAGACTGGGCGAAGCTGCACTTCTTTAGGTTTGCCTTCAGCTGATGGGCCTTTTGAGTTTAAGAACTTTTTTCAAGTGCTCCAAATGCTCCTCTGTTCGACTGTATACCAAAATGTCGTCAAAGAATACCAGCACAAACTTCCTGAGGTACTACCAGAACACTATTCATTAGAGACTGAAAAGTAGCAGGGGCATTAGTGAGCCCAAATGGGATCACCAAGAACTCATAGTGTCCCTTGTGCGTTCGGAAAGTCATCTTTTGAATATCCTCCTTCATTCTGATTTGGTGGTAGTCGGACTTAAGATCTATCTTGGAAAACACTACTGCTCCGTTCAGCTCATCTAATAGCTCATCGATCACCGGAATGGGGAATTTATTAGGTACTATCTCCTTGTTTAAAGCTCTGTAATCCACATAAAACCTCTAGCTCCCATCCTTCTATTTGACTAATAAGACTGGACTAGAAAAAGGACTCACACTGGGTCTGATGATCCCGGCCTCCAACATTTCCCTAATAAGTTTCTCAATTTCATCTTTCTGAATCTGGGGGTAGCGGTAAGGTTGAACATTGATCGGTGACACCCCATCCTTCAGAAAGAATTTCGTGCTCTTGCTCTCTGGGTGGTGGTAAGCCCTACGGTGACTGGAAAACCTCCCTTAATTATTGTATGAGTGGTTGCACCACCAGTGGAATGTCTCCCTCTTCCCCCACATTGACCCTCTCCAAGCGTTGTAGCTCCACCAAATATCCTCCTCCCACCTCCTGTATGGATCTGATCATATATTGAGAGATACTCCTAACCTAGACAGCCCTGCATCCCGCCTAGATCACCATCTTCTGTCCTTCCACCATCACTTCCATCCTCAGAGCACCCCAGTTGACCTTGGTTTCCACCAAAGTCTGCAACCATTTCATCTCCAGGATGACATTAGTACTACTCAATTCTAAGGGAAGAAAATCCTCCCTCACCTGTATCCCTTGAATGGTCAATACTGCTAACTCCTCTCTCCATCTCCACCTTCCCCATGCCCATCATCACTCCATATCCTCCCGTGTCCACTAATTTCACTCATAATAGGTTGACAATCTAGTTAGAGATGAAATTGTGCGTGGCTCCACTATCGATCAACACCACTACTGCCCGATCCCCTATCTCTCGCTTTACCTTCATGGTGTGATTTGATGTGAATCCCACCACCGAGTTTAGAGAGACTTTAGATACATCCAGGTGTAACTTCTCTTCTTCTTCCTCCACTACCCCACTCTCACCTCCCTTCTCAGTTTCCTCGTAATCACAGACGGTGAGAACCTGAAGAGTTTGGTCCTTACACCTATGCCCTGGCATGTACTTCTCATTGCACCTGAAACACAACCCCATAGCCTGCTTCTCCTGGATTTCCTTCTTAGTCAGCTTATTGAAACTTCCTCCTGGCCCACCTCCTCCAGTCCTCTCCTTTGGTGCCGTGCCCCTCATGAACCTCCCGGTGCAGCTCCTTTGGGAGCTATAAAAGTACTAGTCATCCTGTAGGATCCCCCAGAGCTACTGTCTCGAGCCCCTCTTTCCAGATGCTTCTGGTCCTCCACTACCTGTGCTAACTCTATGTCCTCCCCCAAATCGCGTGGTCTCATCACTCTAAAGGTTGCTCTGATATCTGGTTTGAGCCCCTTCATGAAATCCCCCCTCCAGCATGGTCTCAGAAAAATAATCCAGCCTGCTCGCTAGATACTCAAACCGATCAATGTACTCTGCCACCGTCCCCTCCTGTATCAGGGAAAAGAACTGCTCGTAGAAGTCTTCTCCCCTACTGGTTCTGAAACACTCTAATAGACAGTCCTTGAACTCTCTCCAGCTTCGAATGGGCCGCCTCATGTCTCGCCATTGATACCATGCTAATTCCTTCCCTTCTAAACACAGTCCTGCAAATGTCATTTTCTTTTCCTTTGTCAACCCATTGACTGCAAAGTACCGCTCTACCTTATAGAACCAACCATGCGCATCCTTGCCCTCATAGATGGGCATCTTCAATTTCCTCATCTTGGGGTCACCCCTGTTTCCCTTAATTCCTCAATAACCTCCCATTCCCCGAGAGGGAAAAGCTCCCCAGTGGTCACGATCTTCCCTTCGACGATCGTACCCCTGCCATTCCTCGTATTCCCCTCTTCTCCTTTCTTCTTCAGCTCCTCGATGGTAGATTTCACCCCTTCTCCCCAAAAATTCTGCACCTCTTCTCTCATAGCCCATGCTCAGCTCCTCCCTAGAAAGTGTTTATAGCGAAGGCATTCCATCATTCCCCTCAAGGATCTCCTATTCCGTATTCTCTCTTCCCCTAAATGGGTTCGGGTTCCCGCATCTCCCATTATCGCCGGTGGCTTCCCTTGCTTCCGATGTCGTCGGATTTTGTTTGCCCTATAACATCTTCTTCATAATTTCTTCCAAGGCGGTGAACCTCCCATCCATCTTTTCATGGATGGAAGTGAATTGGTTTTGAAAATCAGCGGTTCTTTCTTCCAAATCAGTCTTCAGTTGGCCGATTTCTCCCTCCAATACTTTCACTTTCCTTTCGGCCATCTTCCCTCCCAAGGTTGCCGAGAAGATATCTTTCGGATGAAGGTTCTTTGTTAAAATTTTGGAATTTCAGCCGCCGATGGTCCCAAGACAACACTCTGATACCAATTTGATAGGAAGTACTTGAGTTCGCAAGTAACCAAAAGGGTAATACTTGAGTTCGCAAGCAATCCTACCAATAATCAGCAAAAACAGTGAGCACAAGGGCTGATTTCAATGAAAATCAGCAAAAGCTATGCGAGAACTCGTGTAGGATGAAGAAGAAACGCCAAGGAAAAACTTTGATTCAATAACAATCAAGAACACAAAGCAAGATGCAATTTCCCTCAATTCGAGAGGAAGAAAAACTCTCCACAATCTCTAGCAAAATCTTAGAGCCCAAAGCAAACCCTAGATCTCAAAATTTCCCTCAATCTCAAGATGAAGCTCTAATTCTATCATCAATCCCTAATTAAAGCAAAAGGAGGGAGACAAATTCCCTAAACACCCTTTTAATTCAAAATTTCCCTCCCAACATTGGATTTAAATCAAATTGGGCCCACAACCGGTCCAGGTTGGACCGGTCCAGCTAGCCCCTCCTGGGCCGGCCTAACACAATGATTGGAGTAGTGGTTAAGGTGCTAGCTCTAGATAGTCTCCTTCTCCTCACAATAGAATCAAAGGATCCTTCAAGTATCCTCGCACTTTGAGCGGTTCTTGAAATTCTCTCCAGCGCTCCCTGCATCATTTGAGTGTTCCTTTCCTCAAATTTAGCTACATAGAAAGCTGTTAAATAGTCACATACTATAGGTTCTCAATGTTTACGAATTCTTCTTCACATCTTTGATATTGTTATGCTTCATGCACTACTCTTTTTGTTAATGGCATGCCCCAAGCACACCGCATCTTTTAAGATGTGTTGAATTTAAAATTGTTCTTGAATCACACCTGACCATACTTAGAATACCGAGTGTAAAAGAGAATAGAGAAATTGAGAGACAAGCAAGAGTTCTAGAGTAAGAAGCTCTATGATTTTTGTAATATGTACTTTATTATAGAAAATAGCATAAACAGAGCTCACCTCATGACCCCATTTTTATAAATTTTTGTTGAGGCTTGAGCATTACAAAATTGACTACATACACAACTATATAAAAAATAACATAAAATACAATAATTACGTTGCCTATTTGGAAGGTATGGTTTGATAAAAACATCTTCCAGCTCATAAGAAGCGCCGACTTGGCGTGTATTGGTAGTTGAATAGCCAAATAACTGATTAATAGTTTGCCTTGAAAATTCGTCATTCCTCGAGTAGTTGTCAGGGACTACATCATTGATATTAATCATTAGACCATAATTTTTGAACTGGGATGAGTTCATAGGTCACAGTTGCCAGCTTGATGTGAGTTCCCTTATCGACTAATGAGTCTCTTTTGAATTTGAACTGATTAGACCAAGTTAGCTTGACTTTGATTTAGCTTCAATGGAGTTGACTTTACCTGAACTAGATTTTCTGGATGTTTGGAGGTACAAATATAATCCAATCATGAGAAATTTGTAGAAAAACTTCGAATTGGATTATTTAGGCAATCATTACTTCGAGGGAGGGAAAGAGTTTTTGACTCATTTGTATTATGTAATTCGTGTAGTTTAGATATTTTTTAATATTGTCTTTTCTGGTTTTAAGATATGTTTATTTTTCTTTTTGTGTACCAAGTTATGTAGGAACGTTAGTTTCACTAGAAATGAGTCTTTGATTGCTGTACCTTTGAATCACGGGCAATGGGGTAGAAGCGATATTTAATCAATCTATTATTTGTCTAGTTATATGTACTTTCTAGATGCATGTTGCGTTCAGTTTATTTATGCTTTGCAGCCGCTACTTGTTATGGAGTTATACTGCATGTCTAATGCCATTCTCTCTGAACGTTTTGTTTTTTAAATGATCCATACCTCGCATCATGCTTTGATATGTTTATTTCATGACATGCTAACATATTTAAACTTGTTAATTCAGACAGGCATATGAACAGGCGAGAAGAGATGTAGGTCATATATTTGTCAAGAGTGGTGCTATGGACATTCAGAATATTACAATCTCCAAGCACTTTCAAGATTTTCTACGTATACCCAGAGGAAATATTGAAGACCAAATGGTAAAATATGCTGATATGAAAATTAATGATTCCTATTACTATGTTAAAAAGTTTATGCTCTTTGCTGTATTTTGTTTTTTAAATCTTGCAAGCTTCGTTATTTATAAGTTAGAAAACTAAGTTTTTTCTCTCTTATTCATCATAACTTTGATACTGATATGGCATTTTTTTTTCCTTTCAATATGCATTAGTTTGTGGATCTTGCGTGCAAACAGCATAAATGAATGCTTTCATTAACCGTTTATCATTCTTTTCTGATCTTGATCATGTAGGTATCAAGTACATCTTCAGATGCTAACTTATTTTCTACCGAAGGCTGTGACACCCAGAAGCAACAGAAACAACTAGAAATCCAATTTAATAGGCAACATGAAAAGCTTAGCATCAGGGCATCTAAACTAATGACACAGATGAAGATTACATCCATTTATGGCAGCAATTCCATGAAGTTGAATCAAACAGATAATAAAAAGCAACAAAATTCTGAAGGTTTCATTTCTATGGGATGTATTGATGTTGAGAGTGAACATTCAGAGAGCTGCAGTTTTGTTAGAAATGCCGATGACACTGCCCTGCAAACTGAGGAAGAAGAAAAGTCTCACGCCATTACCCTGAAACCCAAACGCAAACACTCAGAATTTACTAGTCCAATATGTGCTAATGTAAAATCCCCACCAGTATGTGAAGAAGCCAATGTAGATACCCCTGGCAATGTTTTTGTTACGGCAAGAGCAAAATTGGTACCTTTTTTCCTTCCAATGTGATGCCATTTTCCTTTTAATTGTTCTTGTCTATTTCCAGACTTCCGTGATGTTTAATCCTATATATTTATTGTTCATGTTCCATCATTACATAACTTGTATCATTTGTCTTCATACCTCTGATGGTTTTCATCAAGCATCATCATTTTATACCATAAGTCATTAATAAGAAAGTTTATTGTTCTTTGCCCCAATGGTCACCAATGTCCTAGCTTCACCTCTTGTAAAGATGAAAAGACGGTCGGGGGAAGGAGTACAATCGTTTGAGCTTGGCATGATCTTATGCAAAACAAATAAGAGTCCCAAAGTCTATCTTCCTATTTGAGCTCCAATTCTTTTATGGAGATTATAATCATATATCCATAGCATAAGAACATGCTTTATCGTAGTGACTTCTATTTTTTTATTCATTATAATTTTGAAATTTTATCCTGACATACAGTCCTAGGGGTTTTAGTGATGCTTGGAATTAAAGAACACTTACTCCTTAGTGCCTTGAACTTTTAAGGGGCTATTTGGCAACAAGTAGTATTTTATAATCTTGTAAATTTGGATTTACTAAATCCTAAAAATTGTCTGAAAAAAAAAAGATGTTAAATCCTGGTAAATTCTTTTAGGTTGTTTGGTAATATAACTCAAGATTTAAAAAAAAAAAAAACTCAAGATTTAAAATGGTTAGTTCATTAAAAATTCAAAATTAATTTATATTTTAAATTTAATTTGTATTTTAAATAGGAGTTATTTATTAATTATAATATTAATGACCGCCAATAATTTACAATTATATACAGTATAATTAATTATAAGATAATTTAATTAGAAAATAATTTAATTAATGATTTGATTACTAATTATTGTTCTAATTATCTAATTATTTATTTATATGTTATTTTAATAAGTATTTGATTACTAACTATACCATAGAGGTTCAAAACATAAAATGATCTCCATAAATCTTCCTTTACAAGTCATTATGAATTCTTTTAACTCAAAATATCAAAAACAAAAAAAAGGAACCTGTCGCCCGTCGTCTCCCTATGATGGTATGTAAAGGGTGGTTTATCTGTCATTATCGCTTATCAGGTTCTCCTAAAAAATGTTTCATAAGTTGGCTGACTCACAACTTAGTAAATAAAATGACATTCAATTAAATTTAGAGACAAGGAAAGAAATACAATATGCATATACTTCTAAGTAAAGAAATATTCAACATACCATAATACATCATCTAAAATAAAAATGCCTTTAATTCAATCTTTATGTTCTCTTTCTTTACATAAGCTTGCAATCCTTTTTTATTAAGCATTCATGATTCATTTGATGCCTTATATACACATAACATAATGACATAATATCATAATATTAGTCACCCATCTCGAAAGTATCATTTATTTTGTATTGATCGGGTACACTTTTTAATTGGCCATTCTTTTACCATTTGGTTCTAAAGAACCCCTTTACCATTTGGCTAAAAATAGTCCATTTACCATTGGCTCAAAAGAGCCTCTTTACCATTGATACTTTGCATCAAACTTGCACATACAAACATTCTATTTATTTAAAAGAGATTTTAGCATGCCATTTATATGTATGGTCTCATGTTCTCATATGATGTTACATGATTGCAAAATTTCATGAGAAAAGAGAGATGATCATATATACTACATATAAAAGACATGCATTACTTATAAAAGAAACATAAGTTTTACACTTTCTACTATCAATATATGAGAGATTTGCATTTGTATCATGTGTTCAAAAGCATTCATGTAAGAACATGCTAGTCACATATGAAAGTCCAAGTTGCATATAAAAGAAATAACTTTTTACATGATTGCATTTAAAGAATTTTCAAAATTTAAAAGAATTTCATTTTACCTATCTCACCGCGGTGTGATTTGCCAAACGTCTTAATGAACTCTTTCCTTAACACGATCAATATCTAAAGAAACATAACATAATGTGTAAATATCACTTGTTCCCACATAAATTTCTCAAAATCCTAATCTATGTGAATAACAAACTCATCCATACACTATTTTTATATTTTCTAATTGAACCCTTTTCCCAATTCAAGATTAATCTCATTCCTATTTTCTCTAAATTTGGATTTTATCATAATCTTAACTTTTTGGAAACCTCCATCATGCCCATTGCATAACACATGCATAAAGAACCTACCTTACACTTAAATATTAATTAAAATACAATAATTTTTGGATTAATTTAATTTAAAAATTAAAAAAATTGCCTTTTGTGCAAAAGTCCTAATTCTTGCTTCTAAAAACCTTCCTAAGTCTATTTGGAATCAAGATACTTAAAAATTTTCATGATTTTGCAAAGCCCAAATTCTTGAAACTTGAAATTTCATCATGAAATTAAATTATCTTCCTATAGAAGCTTTCTAATGCTATTAGGAAGTTTTCTTACAATGTCATTTTGAAAGGATAAAAAAATCGTAGAAAATCATTATTTTTGAAATCTAAAATTTTTAGGAAAACATCTCATTTTTATGCGTAAAGCCATCACCTAAACTTTCCCTTTCAATTTCTTAAAGGAATATGAAGTTTCCATCAAATCCTAGATTTCCCTCTTAGAGAAAACTTCATAAAAGAATGAGAAAATTCTTAAATACAACTTACCTTAACCTTCTCTTAGTCTTTCCTACCATTTCCTCCACGATCGGCCGCCGGAAACAGCCCCTAGGGTTGCCGTTCGCCTCTCCCGTCCGCTCTTCTCGTCACCTCTCTCTCCTTATGTTTGGCCAACCGAGCAAACACAAATAGGACCGAAATATTTCGGTCCCATAGGAATATAAGGAGTGTGGGGAAGAATTACCTATGTGCCCCTCCTTATCTCTTCCCTAAAACTTCATGAGGGGTAGAATGGGCAAAATAAGTTTAAGTTTACTTAAATAATCTTTGATGATTTTTAATTTTAAAACTGTGCAAAATTAGGTATATGTTCTTTATATCGTTTAGATCAAAATTTGGTGTAGAATTTTATAAAATTTATTGCGTCGAATTCCGACGACTTTGAAATTTTGCCTACATTCGTCGCGGCTCATCGAAATGCGTGCGACGTGGAAGATCGATATTTTTCAGGTTTACATGCAGTGCATGAGGTAGTGTTTTGAAGAAGTTACTATATTTTTTTCGCCTCTTCGATGATGTTCCCTTCACGATAGTTCACTGACAGGAGCTAGCTTGCTATTTCGCTAAAAATTTCTTTGCCCCCATGAAAGTTTGACTACGTTGCACCCATTGGATTGGAAGTAATGACAAAAGCTTGCTTGTTATGAAGGTAACTATCTTTCTCACCTTTCGAATCTTTTTTCGGCCAAATCCTGTAAATTTGTCAAACTCTCGAACTTTGTAAATTCAGGATTTATGACAAAAAAAGGGAAACATAGGTTTATTTCTCCGTGAGATTTAAGATGTCCTCAAATTCTATTTGGTACGATTTAGCATAAATCTTGTCACATCCCATTTTGACCCTCTTTAATCAACCTGGAGTGTAATAGAGAGGGAAAATCATAACAAAAATATTTCTTATTAATACCCATCCTAAGGTACATTTGTCAGGATCGGGTGAGTAAGAAGTTAATCCATTCAGACTATGCCAACATAAATATAATCCAGCCTTAAAATTATACCTCATAACTTCATGTTTTGAAGCAAAGCCCATTATATATCAAAATAAAGTACAAAGCTTTACTAAAATATCAAATAAAGTTTACATACCCAAAAGATTTAATATACAACTTGCTGACCAATCTTCTATTTACGTCCAAAACATATGTAAACAAGGCAGTCGAACTCCTGCCTAAATCTCTGCAAGCTCCTTTCCCTTTCTTGCAATATATCCACTGGTGAGTTGAATGATAAATGAAATGCACAATCCTAATAATAGGATAAAAAACAATTAACATGCATGCTGCTAATTTAAAATAATATAAGAATCATAAGTGGTGCGCATGTCAAAACTAATCTATGATTCATTAATATAGTTTTATGCTATTTTAGGAAATTCATATGATGACTATAGGCTTTAACACATTTATAACACCCCCTTTTTTAGGATTGGATCTAAAACTCCAATTTTTTAGAAAAGAGAGAGTTGGGCACCTCCTGTTCAGTTCATACTAAGACTCATCTTATTAGATCTTTTGTCTTTATTTGTGCAGGCCTATCTCCCATATTATGAGTTTTCTCTATAACTTCCAAATTAGCGTAGTAGATTTCCAGAATATCATGTCACCTTATTAAAAAAAATTTTATATTGAAATAAATTCATATTGAGCAAGTGATCATAAAACTAAACTTATTCTTATTGTTGAAATTTTCATCTTATGATTAATACGAAGAAATGCTATAAAAGTTAGATTTAAAAATTTTCCAATTCCTGTACTAGAGATTGGTATCTCACCTCGTTTTCTAGATTAGTGAGCTAAATTTGATCTCCTAGAATATCCCAACATCTTTTCCTTCTATAGACACCTAAATAATAATGATTCTGAAATTCATAAAAAATTCCGAACTTAGAGAACAATTCATGATAACCCAAGAAATAAAATTTTACCTTAACTAAATTTCTTTTCATTCATATTAGATTCTTTATCTAATCCCTAGCCTTTTTCCTCTTATTCCTTAAATTTCCTTTCCTTCTCTTCTTTTACCTGTTTCAAAGCTTTAGCCGCAACAGGTATTAAGGCCTCCCCCGCTTCCTATGCATCGCGGCTTGCACTCCGCAGACAGTTGCTTCGATTTTAGAGACCAATTACGGGTGGAAGAAAGAATGGGAAATGTTTTAATAGTTAACTAATATATATGTAAGTTATAATTTAACACCAATAAATTTCCAGCCGTGTGATTTCTGCACTAAGTGAATCTGCCATTGTACGAGCCGGTAAGTGGAAATTTTGATTTGCTACAGTGCATTGAGCTTTGTTATAGTTTTTTAATTAATGACCAGTAATT